CTGATTTCATTTCCTTCGGGTATATATTCAGTAATGGGGTTGATGGATCATATGGTAGTTCTAATTTTGATTTTCTGAGGAACCTCTGTTTCCATAATGGCTGTGTTAATTTACATTCCTACCAACAGTGTGCAGGGGTTTCCTTTTCTCCACATCTTTTCCAACACTTACCTTTCATCTTTTTGATAATTGCCATTCTAACAGGTATGACGTGATAGCTCATTGTGGTTTTAATTTGCCTTTCTCTAGTGATTAGTGATGTTGAACATCATTTTACATACATCTGTTGGCCATTTGTATGTTTTCCTTTGAGAAATGTCTATTCAGGTTCTTTGCTCATTTTTTAATTAGGTTATTTTCTTGATATTGAGTTGTTTGAGTTCCTTATATTTTGGATGTTAACCCCTTATCAAATACATGGTTTGCATTGTTCTCTTTGCTCGAGATAACTTTGGCTATTCAGGGTCTTTTTTGGTTCCATAAAAATTTTATAATTGTTTTTTTCTATTTATGTGAAAAATGTCTTTAGAATTTTGATAGAGATTACATTGAATCTGTAGATCACTTTGGGTAGTATGGACATTTTAACAGTATTGATTTTTCCAACCCACGAACATGGGATATCTTTCCATTTATTTGCATCTTCAATTTATTTGATCTTTTTTTTATAGTTTTCAGTGTACTGGTCTTTCACTACTTTGGTTGAATTTATTCCTAAGTATTTTATTTTTTTTGTAGGTATTGTGAGTGGAATTGTTTTCTTGATTTCTTTTTCAGATAGTTTGTTGTTAGTATATAGAAACACTGCTGATTTTTGTATGTTGATTTTGTATCCCTCAACTTTACTGATTTTATGTTAAGAATTTACCTTAACAGTGTTTTGATGGAGTCTTTTAGGGTTTTCTATATATGAGATCATGTTGTCTGCAAATAGGGACAACTTCTTCCTTTCCAATTTGGATGCTTTTTATTTCTTTCTCTTGCCTAATTGCTCTGGCTTGGACTTGTTGTCCTATGTTGAATAAAAGTGGTGAGAGTGGATATTCTTGTCTTGTTACTTATCTTATAATAGAAGAAAAGTTTTCAACTTTTCACCATTGAGTGTGATATTAGCGGTATGTTTGCCACATATGGCCTTTATTGTGTTGAGGTACGTTCCTTCTATACCTAATTTGTTAAAAGAGATTTTACCATGATAGTATCTTGAATTTTGTCAAATGCTTTTTCTGCATCTATTGAAATGATCACTCTGTTAACGTACTGTATTACATTTATAGATTTCCCTTGGTTTTTAATAAGTAAATGTGTGTTTGATTGCTATTTGGTTTTTGATGAACTGTGTTTCCTAGAAGACACTGTAGTATACATTTCCATAACTGCCAAAAAATTAGTTTGTTTAGTGGTTACCATTTCCATCCCTGGATTTCATAATGCATTTTACACAGGTGTTTACACCTTCAAGAGAAAGGGCTCTGTAAAGTTGAGCGTGTAGGAAAACTATACACTATAATTCAAAGCATCAGCACCAATGTGAAGTTCAAAATATTAAGGCAGTTTGAGAGTGGTGAAAACTGTAGCCAAATTTAGACTCTAGAGCTTGCTACCTCCGTAGCAGTTCAGTGAAATCACATGATACAGGACAGTTTAGTGAGTTTGTGGTGTTACATTATTTCTTTATGAAGCATTTTGCTTGAAGTTATTTTTCTACTTAAATATGAATTTGAAAAGATTTTTGATATTCCTGATTGCCACAGTATTAAGTGGGAGCAAATATTTTTTGATGCAGAGTGTATATCTTTAGGAAATGATGGAAATTATTTAAAGGCTAAAATTCACTAAAAAAAAAAAAAGTGTGCTGAAGTGTAAACTGTGCTCAAAGCCTATCAATTGCATTAAGCGAGAGTACCTATATTGTTTTCTTTCCCCTTGGAAATTTGATTTGTTATATTCTAACTTTACACATTGGCCCTGCTCCCAAGAGTTGAAAACAAGAGTGTAGCTAAATGAGTCCAGCTCCTGGATTTCAGCCTGATGCTGTTAGCTGAAGTCTTGGAACAGGGTCTGTTAGCTAGCTGCTTTACAGAAAGTCAGCATTAGATGATAAAATCTTCATTCTTGATAGTGAGCTGCTGTTTAAGGAATCATTTCTTTTAACATTGCTTTTTGCTCTCCTGCTTTGTAGAGAGCCATGTGGCTTTCACATCTGCTGCTGGTTTTCTCATCCAAAGAGTTTATCAGTGAAAGATAGGATCTAGTGGAAGAATAGATCCCCTTTAGGTACAAAGGGACTGCATTGCAGGGTAGATTGG